CGACGAAAGACCGGTGACGCGATAGACAGCGCGATTGCCCGTCTCACTTTAAAAGAAGGACGGAATAACTTAACCACTGAGGGCGCCACTTTCCGGGCAGAGACCCCAGTGCGGACTTCGGGTCTTACTCCAGGACCCTCTTAACCTAAGCCTACATTACGTGGAGCAAGTCATAGTGTCTCTAGGTCAGGAGGGCGCGGGTCACATTCCTGAGACGGGTTTTGAAAATCCTTCTTTATCGAATATAATTCCGTCTGCGCACTGTATTACGAATGATAATTTTATGATAACGTTCTATCGATCAACGATTACAGCAACTTTACGAGCCACGATCAAGATGTAAAGTGGTAAAATTCCAAAGATCAGAGACGTTTCAAACTGTCATCATTTTATTTTCCTTGCCGCTCAAAATAGCATAATAAATTAATGCTTACAATAATGCCCTTATTATAAAAACGCACATAACACATTTCTAATATTAAAGCACAACATATATTATTATTTGCAATTAATTTTCTATAATATCATTATAGATACTAACTTTTCTTACTTTGTGTAAAGAAATTTCTACAAATAGAAATCTATAAAATTTATATCAATATGTATATATATTACAACTATCACAGACATATTTTTACTTACAAATTTTAATAAACTGGACACGTGTTCCAGAAACAAGTATTTACAACCGAGTCCGTTTTCAAGTATTCAATAGTTTTCAGATCCAACTTTTCGCCGTGCATTTCCGCCTCCAGAATTGTCAGTCGATTTTTATAAACAGCAGCCAAACAATATCTTTTTTCCAAATTAGCGTACTTTCGTATTTTAAAGTGGAACAATTTATCAACTTTTAGATGTATAGCATTTCTCTCCACAAAACCTTCGATACCTTGAAAAAAAAAAAGATATAATAAAACGTGTAAAAACTATGCGTGTAAAAAAATATAATAATTGCTTTTCTTTTTATAATTATAGAAAATATTCTTTTTTTAGTTAATTAATATTGTACTTGTTTGTCTTGAGACAACAAATTTTTACCTCGATATTCGTAAATACGAACGATATCAGTATTTTCCACAAAGATAAGCAATGTTTCAATAAATCCAGGGAAATGTAAAATCCTAATTGATCTTGGCCGACGCGCTTTTATAACTTGCATGATTTTTGTTTGCGAAACGTCATTTTTGTAGATCTGTATAAATAAAATAACATAATAACATTAACATAAATCACAATTAATTTATACAAAATACAGATTAAATATTGTTAACAACTTACATATATATAATTCGGACTCAGTTCTTCGTTGTAATAGATGTACTCCTCTGTTTGATAAATACCTACTCTAAACTTCAATATTTTACTGTGATCGAAATCGCTTATGAAATTTGTATCGTTTGACGATTTTTCTCCTAGCCCGTAGATCACCGATCGAGTAGCTTGCACAATGGAATCATTGTTTGAAATCAAATTTAACTTCTTGTTTTCAAATAATGTAATCGCTTCTAATATATCGGACTGTATGTTATCCGGAGCGGCTTCGAAACTCTCGTGAATCATTGATACAAATTCTTTTCGTGATAGATCCATGTCGGCATTATTGCCAAGTTCCAATATATGCTGAAACAAAAATTAAATTAATTAAATTATTAATTTTAAATTAATTAAAATAAAGATCAAATCTTAAGAATTTGTCTCTCAATGTGGAAAAAAATTTACATAATTTTGTTCATAAATATTAAGTTTTGTATTTTTTATATGTTTGCACATGTCTTATTTATTTTTATTCTTTAATAGAAAATATGTGTGTGTGTGTGTGTGTATGTGAACTTACCGTCAATCTATTATTCTCTAACTTCCATATATTGTTGAGACTTCTACCACATGTACGCTTTGCGGTGGTAAGTAAGAATAAACCATGATCCGATGTGAAGACCATCCAACGATCAATTAATCCAAAATCGGAAATCACGTCGATTACTTGAAAATCATTTTGATCGTATAATATCAACTTCACACGACAAGTGTCATAATTTACTAGTATATAAATCGTATCATGTGTTTCGATGGTATAGATGTCATGAATGTCACCTTCGAATTCGAAAACTTTTAAATAATCAAAAGTATTGAATTTATATATCTGATTCGCAGCGATACATTTAAACTGATCCAAATAAAACGAACAAAACTTAGATATATCGTCCTGCAAAAAAAAACAAGATAATTATACAAGATAAACGTAAGTGATTTTTTTAATTGTGATTTAACTATATGAATATGATTGTTAAAATATATTCAATATTAAAAACGTTACGTTCCACACTCCATAAATGTTTTTACGTAAAAAATAATTCTCTTACATCTGCGTTCTCAATAACACGATTTATTTCGGGAAGATCTTTCGCTAAGGCAAGTGACGTTTCTGTTACGTTAATCCCGTTCAAAAATTCACTCCCTTTAACATTACTCTCAAAATGAACGGTTCCATGTATTTTCCATTTTCCAGATATAATCTGAGTTGCTTTCTCTGTTCTCTTTATTGCCGCTCCTAGCCAATTAACTGGTTTAATTCCGTTTAGAGAACCCAAAATCCTGAGACTCTTACGAAGGATAACCGGAGACTTGAATATAAAGTTTCCTGAAAACATTATTTATATATATGTATGTATATATATATTTATATATATAATGAATATATTATTTATATCGATATTTATTCTGTATATTTATAATGTATATATTATTTATATCGATATTTGTTCTGTATATTTATTCGTCTTGTGTATTTTTATCTCTATAGTTTTTTACCAGTCAGAGTTTCATTGGCGATCAGGGAAATAAATTGCTTAGGACTAACATCGTTAATGTGATAAGCATCGAAGTTGTGAAACGCGTAAACATTTCCCAGAATCCTGATGTTTCCTGTAATATTCTGATTACCGTATATCTGCAAAAATGCGTTAATTAATTCATTCTGTTGCAAAAATATACGTTAAGAAAAGTTTTTAATTTTAGATATTCGCGCTAAAAAAAAAATTGCATCTAACGACGTAATAGAAACATCGTTTTAACGGTTTTACAAGTTGAAGTTGAAAAAACACGAATCTCTCAAATGTTTACGATTAGTGACAATTTCCTCCTTACTACGTTCCGCGATTGCACGGATTCAATATGTACATACATACAAGGATCCCAAGTTTTAAGTGGAATTCGAACAGTTCGAACCACTAGAAGTTCTTCTAGGAGACACTTCTATTAGGAGAAAAGTGTACATCCTTTCTCTCGAAGTTTGGCTCCGAAGCGAATTGACCCGCAAAAATTGAGAGAGCGAATCTATAGTTCTCAATCTTTTCAAAAAAACTGAATCTGAACTACGGATCTCGATCAATAAACAAAAAAAAAAAAAACATATTGCTCTATCTCTAAGATTTAACGTACCATAAAAGTATCCTCGAAGATGTTCTTCAAGTTGTAAGTGTTGATATGTCCCGATATGTCGAAGTTTTTGACGGTGACATTTGTACCATTGAGCCAATCGATCATAATAAGCTGCTTGGTGCGTAATGGAATCAATAAATCCATCTCCAAGTCGTTGACCTGCGTGACTTTTATGTTTGCTTGAAAAGTCGCATTGTCAAGTGTCATTCGAGCTGGAAGATAAAATGTTTTTTTTTTTTTTTTTTTTTTTGTCAGATCGATTATTCGATTTAACGGCACGTGTTAAGCACGTGTGCAAATATACATGTGTTTTTTTTTTGTGTGTAAAACTACTCACCTGTAATGTACATAGGCTTGTTGAGAGCGATAGCATTGTCCCGCAACTCTTTCATATCGACTCCCATTACGGTGTTGGGTTGTAATTTCTGTTTTACTATGAGATCTTTTTTTATGTCAACATTTTCTTTAAATATCACTGTGCTATTGATCGTGAAAGGTTTGTCGATGTAAACAGCATCTTTGTGAAATGAATCCAAGTCCAAATCGTTCAAGCTGCCGTTGATGGTGAACATGCCATTAAACGCGACCGAATTTTTGAATAATTTCAATCCAGATATTGTGACATTCGTGTCATTCTTAGAAATGATTGTTTTCACGAAACTGTCGAACGCCACTCCTTGAATTGATCCGCTCACATTTAATTCTCTTACGGAAGCGAATTCGATGAAAGAAACGTTTCCACGAAGAGCGTAGGAGTTATTACCGAGAAGCTTGAATCTATCTGTGAAGTCGTGGAAAGACACATTTCCAATTTTTCCAATTGTATCGAAGGTGTTTAAAACGGTGACCGAACCTAAGAAAATTAATTAATCTTTTGTTAACATTCTACGCGTCTGATAAGTAAACAACCACGAAAACCACTTTTTGTATGTATGAGTGTACACAATATTCACCATTCACAACGATCGGTCCTTTCAGCACCTGGTTTTTATCAGCACGCAAAATATCGTCCACAGAATGCCCGTTTATAAACAACGTTTCTAAAACCTCGCACGTAACATTTTCGAATATTTTGAAACCCGTAAATGTAACATTTTTGTCGCTCTTCCGAACAGCATCAGAAATAAACTTCGAGAAATTTAAACCATTTACGAAGCCGTTCACTGTTAGATCTTCGATCGATACATATTTATTGAAAATCACAGTTGCCGTGTTATCTTTGTCAAAACTATCAAGAATATCGTTTCCATTGATCGAGGACGCTGTTGTCATTCCCGTCACTTGTAACGATTTTATCGATGTGTTACTGCTGAACAAGTCGTCGTACAGAGATTGCGCGTTCATTAATAATTGTTTTAATTCGTTCATTGACATTCCGTTGACGAGTTTTGCATCCAAGATGTCGATTTCTAAATTGTTAATTGTCAAAGCGCCCGTCAGATTCTGCTTCGTAGAACTTGTTACCATGTGTTCGACCAGTTCGGTATAATTAATCCCGTTAACTACTTTAGGCAAGACTTCATCCGCCATTAATATCGAGATCGTCAAATTGTCGAAATATGTACTTTGAAAAATGTTATTAAACTTTTTGAAGAAACTGGTCTGTGAAATAGTTTGTTTCAAAGTCTCGAAGGACAAGTCCTCAGCAATAACAGATTTAGTAAATGCCAGTATTGTGTTCAAACAACCCGCGTGTTGTTTGTACTGATGAGTTATATAATCTTTAAATATATAATCATGCAATTGTTGCACGCTACCAAGAGTTACATTGCCAAATGTAATAACCGCCGATATTTTTTCTAAGTCTGAAAGTAATAATTTGACATATGTTACGAAAATCTCATATGTTATGAAAAAATCATATTTAGTGTCTCTAAGATTTATAATTACAGAAATTATATAAGAACTTTAATTAATGTTATTTAATTTATGAACTACAATCAACGTGTACTCACAGGGAAAGTCTTGTTTGGTGTTTAATGTTACGAATTCTGAGAATGAATGATTGTTAATTGTTTCGGCTGCAAAGTTAGATTTTATAGTAACGCCACTCAAAAAAGTTTTATTTCCAGTAATCACAGCACATTTCTCAGTTTTTAACAAAAGATCGTCTAGATCCGACCATGTTTTATTATCAATCGAATCTTCGAGCACAATGTTTCCCGTAACGTAAAGATTTTCAAAACTGACATCCGATAATAACCTATCAGTTTCATTCAACAAATTCTCTACACTTACATTCAGACCTGTTACATTTCCGTCGATCTAAAAATTGTAACATCATCATAAAATATATATTATTAAAACTTAAATATACAAATTTTCTTACCGTGAAAGTTCCATCAACTTTTAGATTTTCGAAAGTAATTTCCTTGTCGAGAACCTCGTCTCTGTTGGTAATAATGAAGTCATCAATGCTTATTCCATTGATCTTCTCTATATTTTTCAAGTGCGTTGTAGATAGATTGGTAAAATATTTTTTGCCCGTAATCTTTACAAAAGAGATGTTATTTAAAACGTAATCGCTTGGATATTGCAGGTGATTTAAATTTTCGATATTGACGTCTTCAGCAATAAGTGTCTGAAAGAAAATAATATAATATAATGATAAGAATAATAAATTAAAATTGTGTTTTTTATATAAAACAAAATATTACTTTTAGATAGTTTAATAAATTATGATATATATCAACACATTTTTACAGAACAATATTCTGTATAAAATATTATGATTATGTTTCTCTTACCCCTTCTACAATAGTCTCTCCAGGAATAATCGCCGGTTTATTCTTCCATACTATATTTGCCATCAGATCTTCCCAGGTGATGTTGTTTATTTTGGAAAACTTCAAGTGTCCGTTCACTTCCAATCGCTTTAATCTCGAAAACTCTACGTCACTGTAATTCTTGATTGTAGTATCGAAAACAATATCTTCAACAGGAATGTTATTTATAAATTCGACAGTTAAGTTACGACCGTCGATAGAAGAAAATTCTTGCTCGTTGACAATATACTCGTTTTTTGTGCTCAAATCCGGTACATCGTAGAGAATAGAAGTAGCTTTGAGATTATTCGCGTGTAAAGTACCATTTATTACGAAATCTCCAGTTATTTCACTATTGAACGGTAAAACGATCGAATTGCTCGAATTTATAAACTCGTACATTTCTTCGAGCTTCGCGTCGAGTTCTTCTATTCTCTTTGTAATCGATGTTACGTTTGTCTTGATATCTTCCATTGTCATTTTAACCGAGCCGACTTTGACGGTGTCATAATATACGTCTGTTCCGATCGCAGCATTCAAAGCATTTACTTCCGACAAATTCCAGAATCCTGTTATATTGGGATTATTCAAGTAACTTTGATTCAATAGTGCCTCGGTCTCGTCAAAAATGGTTTCCTGTTTTCGAAAGACTTCCTGGAAGAGAAATTTTATACAGCGTCACAATGTTATAACATTGTAACGTTATATTTCTTTTAAATAATATTTATTAAAACCTATATACACAGAAAAAAAAACAATCGTGTGAACGAACCTCTAATAAAGCTCGTGTTTTCAACTTGCTCTCCATTTCGTCGTGAATGGGATGAGCTATTTCCTTTAAATTTACCTCTATACGTATGAGCGTGTTTGCATATATAAATCCTACTTTTGGAATAGCGACGAGTTTCGATAGATCGAACGTGTTCAAAATCTCATTAGGCAAAGGCACCGTCTTAAATTTTGACCCATGCCAAGCCAAAGCGATTACGGTTGAATTTTTTAATTGAATTAATAATAATGACTCGTCTCGGTACGTATTTATTGGCACAGCGGTGACCCAAATAATATCTGTCCGATATATAAAGTTTAGTTTTGGTGAGTTTATACAATTTGTATATTTTGTATATATATATATATGTATATATATATTTAAATATATGTATATATATGTATATTTGAAAATATGTATATGTATATGTATATTTGAAAATTATTATATCTTACCACTGAAATGTAAATTTGTCTCGCCGTTATCTCGAAATTCGCTTTCGGAGAAGTAAAGCAAACGCGGTACCTGTCCGCCAATTGCAAGATATTGAATATAACCACTCTCGAAGCAAATAAAGTTCGCGAGCTTATTGGACTTGATAACTTGAAACTTCTCAAATTGGCACAATTTATTTTCTTTTTTCGCCTCGTATAAAACAACGCTGTCTACTTTTCGAAAGGCCAACAGAGTTCGTCCGGAAATCGGACAAACTTGAATATCGAGAATTTTCGGAACAAACAACCGTCGACAAAACCTGCACGATACATATTTACACATAAGAATTACAGTACGTTGCTACAGAGAACATATCTGAACGTAAAACTGTGAAAAAAAAAATGTAACGTACCAAATATCGATGGTACGATTTTTGTAATCAATATCAAAATTGTAAATGTCAATCAAAGTTTCATTATAAAATCGTGCATCATTATCGAGCAGCAACAATTTGTGTTGATCTTCTTCTTTCACAAATTCCAAATCCTGAATTTGTTTTTGCACAGACATCACCGAATATAACGTATATGTAGTTCCGAAAATTCTGTACCAGTACAACGAATAATCGTTTTCTTGTTTAACAAAAAGTACCGCTATTAAATTATTTGTGTTATTCTCACTGGTGGTTTCATCGATATTTAAATTAAGAATTTTAAATTGCAATATGTGCCCTTTTGTTTTTACAAGTAGAACAAGCTTAATCGATAAATCGTTTAAATTAGTTTCGTAGAAAAATAACGTTGAATTTTCAGCGCAAATAAAGTAAGTTGCTCCCGTTTGCATAACTAGCCACTGATTGTTTTCGAACACTTTGCTAAATTTATGCGTTGAAATATTTGTCACCACAACATCTGGAAATATTTAAGCAAATATTTCTTTATATAAATAAATTATATAAATTCTAGCAAAATTATACTTGTTAATATTTAATGAAACGTTCGATGAAAAAAAGTCTGTCTCTCTTACCTTCTCGATTTCCAACTCCCGTGCCAAATTCGTATTTCTGCCAAATTAAAGATACATCTTCACGGTCCCGTGTGCGTCGAGATGTTCTATGAATATTGACGAGAATTTCGTCCAATATTTCAGACATTTCATCGATTTTTTCACATCTCGCGTCATTTATGAAGATCAAAAGCAGGAGGAAGTATACAACGAGATCCTTACACGGTAACATTATACCCGCAAACTGAGACTGAGTCGTGGAATTCCTACGACCTACCTCGTAAATATCGTCGTAAGACTCACAATATTATGATTTACAGTAAACCGATGCTGACATCTAATTGAATCTTCTTCGAGCTTGATTGGTTTCACGTTTTCGTGTGAATTCAGAATTAAAAGTTCCACGTTAATAATAATATTTACTACCGTGTGTTTAATACCTATTATTGTATACTTTTATATTTTGTACGTAACATAATTATCAAATTAAAATTATAATCTCAAGAAAAACTCATGTCTCGCGCGGCACGCGCTGGCACAACTTTACGCGTAACAAACTTCGCGTAAAATAGACCTGTGTACGGAAGACTCTTGATATATGTTGACCGCGACGTTGAAAGGATCGAGGAAGATGATTTTTTTTTTTTTTTTGTCCTTCTCCCTTTCCAACGTATATTGTTCTGACTTGCGCGAGAAAGTTGAGCCGCAATTAGTATGCTGAGAACGCTACGCACACCTACCATGAAAGAAGAACTTGTGGCGGACAAAGTATAGATGCGTGTAAAGAAGAAATCTTCTTTATCTCATAGCTTTCTTATATCGAGAATGTATTAAACCACTTGTAACTATGTACTCGAAAGAATTATACATAAGTAAACTCTCTTATGTACTTAAATTAAATATATATTTAAATTAATATTATTAAAAATACATAACTGATATTTATAAAACAACATGAAATCAAATGATATTAACTTGTTATGTATAGTTCGCGTTTTATTAATACATTTCTTTACAAAAAAATCTTTTTTGTTATCCTTTTCTTCTTTCTATGTCACATTTGTACAAAGTAGCATGTCTAACTGCTACAAGCTGAATAATGCTATATTTTCTCTTAACCGTAACGTATATTTGTAATACATGACGCTCTCTTCGGTTTATTAGGGGGAATTAAATCAAATATCGAATCGGAAAAAACGAGATCAATTTGTCAGCATATAGCGTTACAGATTGTGAGTAATGATAGTCTTAATAAAAGAAAACAAAAGTTTTAGAAAAGATATTCAATTTCTGTAGTAGTTTCTAAAACATTGTTTTAATAAAATAATATTCTAAAGTATATTATAACAAGTATAAATTATACATAGTTGTTTTAAATAATAAAAACATTCAATATTTTTTTACAATAAATAATTCAATTTTTTCAATATTTTTATTCATATCAAAGAATTTTATATAAGATTATTAATATATATTAAAATACTGACACAAATATTATAAATACATGTGTTATAAATTACGGCACGTTGACTGGTAGAAATCTCGATCTGTCTCCAACTTTTGGTTGGAATCTCAAATTTATTTTTTCATTACCCTCCTCGCCAACTTCGAGAAATGTATTCCAGTCTACTAAAAAATATAAACCGCTTCTTCGTTTTGTTGGCAAAACGGGATCCGGCGCACTGGTGGAACCACCGAAAGATTCCTCCAATGCCGCGAGATTTGCGGACGTCGACGATTCTGGAGCTGTCGTCAATGCGTTCAGGAAGCCGGAGCCGTCCTTCGCGGAATCTGAAGTCGTTGGGGATACCGTCGTTATGGTCGTCGATGTTTCCGAGGAAATGTCTACAGACGCTGCCGACAAGATCCGTGGTAAATTGCTGTTTGATTTTACTTTGTGCATTGTAATTTGCGAAAAAAATGTAAACAATACAAGAAATTATGTCTTGGCAAGACTGAGAATGTTTTTGTTAAAATTTTTAACGTTCTGTCACCACACACAGTTCTTAAAACTAATGAAAAACATTTTAACTTAAAGAAAAAATCAAAATTCTGAAAAAAATATGTTACGACCAAACACAATAGACAGAATGACAGAAACAGATAACACAATAGATAATGACAGACAATGACAGAAACTTGAGAAAACATGAAACGAGATTCTCTTTACTACCACGAAAAGCGTAAGAGTTGGGTTTTTTTTGCGTTTATGTTATTTACGTAAACCTTATCACAGAAATGTCATGAAAGAAGAAATTCATTTCCGTAGAATAAAGTATATTATAAATGTCGTTCGCGCAACCGTCTATCGCGATCAGTCATACCGATTGAATAGAATCGTTTCGAGCTAGAAACCGGTTCGCGTGCGACCGCATGCATCCAGCATTCGCACATGCAACATTTACGACGTACGCTGCTTCGCGAGGAAAGAAAGTTATATGTACATACATACATCTAGTTGATCGGTAATATATGCGCGTAAAAAAAAAAAAGTTTGCATGCAAAGAACTGCTTCGGAACATCGTCGTCCGAATAAATTGCATGCTAAAGCATATCGGAAAAACTTATCAGGCGTTGCGCGTCAGTGACTTATAGATTTACCTAAAGAACATCGGATTTTTAGTTTTAAGCTGATCATCAGATTTGTTGCATCATTTTAAGATGTTCCGACTTAACTAAATATAATCCGATTAATTTGAGTTAATGCTAGCGTTCATAAATTTCTCTCGTACAAACTATTGATTGAAAGATACTTTGTTCCTTATACTCTCGAATCGGATTCTTGAACGCACCGAGAGATAGAGATGAAGCGAAGAGACTGAAGTGGAAGCAAAGAAAGACGTAGCTAGAGAAGATCATGCCAAAAGAAAAAAGAGTTGCACCAAAAATAAACATTTAGCAACAAACATCTCCCAGATCTGTCCATTTAATCGGGAGGTTGTCTAATCCTAGTAGTTCCCATGTTGGTGAACATGCTTCTGATCATTGTCAGACCCTGAATGATCCTTCTAACCCAGTATTCCGAAGTACCCAAAACGGATATCATGAATCGTTTTATACCGGTAGAAATAGATGTTGCTGCAGTCGGCGTAATGTTTGCGACATCCTGATCGCTATTCGTGGTAACCTCGACTGCTTCGTCCTGATTTTGTCTCTTTACTTCGTTTTTGAGCGTGTCTTCGTTATACATCTTGACGATCTCTTCTAACTTCAAAGGATCAGGTCCGTCTTTTAGAGTTTTCGCACTCTCCATCAGACCATTAACCGCTTTTCGCACATCCGTCGCGTTTGCTTTGCCCTCTTGGACGAACTTGATCATGTCCAAGAGCTCGTTGATCTTCATCTTTTGTCTCTCATCTTTCACTTCAACTTCGTGAGGTTTGAACACGTGAAATCTAGTCGACTCCGTCGGTTCTGTATCCTCCAGCTTTGGCGTCGTCTTTGGTACTTTACGACGAGAGATGAGACCTACATTCTCCAGAATCTGTCTCATGTTACTTGGAACGGCCTCGATCAACGACGGTCGTTCCGTTGACAATGGCATGGCTTTCTTCTGTCTGTTATCGCCGACTCCAAGTCCGAACTGCGCTAAGAAATCTTTCATATTGGGATCTCTGACCTTGCCTAAAGTTGGCAAGGCCTTGAAGTTGGTATAAGAATTTGTCTTCGCAGTCGGTTTTGACGTTGTGGATGTAGTAGTTGTTGTCGGATTGGACGTCTGAAGACCAAATCGTTGAAACAGCAATTGCACATCGGGTGTAAGATTATTGATTCCTTTTCCGATTTCTGAAACAATTGGATTTTCAAAAGTGTTCTGAGATGTTATCGATGGTAAATCAGGCATCACAGACGTTAAACCGGAAGTCGGATAGACGAAGCCGTTGTTAGCAATCTGAGAGTTCTCGAAACTTTCCTTGCTCTTTTCAAACACTTCTTCCACGTTATTGGCATTTTCCGGTCGTAACCCAATTGAGGCGAGCAGATCCATTAGTTCCGGACGCATCGTCGTCGTTGTCGTTGTCGTTGTCGAAGGTGGAGTCGTCGTAATTCTGCGAAATCCTCCAGAGTTCAAATTATAAGTGAAATTATACTTTGGTTTCTCCGAAGAAAAAGAAGAAGAAGGAGTGGTCGTTGGTGTTACGTATATAGCAGTTGACTGCTCAGCATCTTTTATCTTTGTAGATGTTATCTTTGAGATTTCTGTGACGTCTTTTGTTTTACTAATTATTGTTGGCGTCGTAACATCTTTTGAGATCGGAGAGAAAGATTGTTTATTGTGAATTTTTTTGAAGGTCAAATCCGGAATTTTCGTTGTCGTGCTGCTTGTTGGTGCATTGTAGCGCCATTGATTAGCAGACAAAACAGTTTCCTGCTTGAAAGGCCGAGAGGTTGATATCTTCAAGATATCTTTGGGACTTGTCTCCGTGGTTCGTGCACCCGCTGCACTTGTGCTGTATACTATAAAAACATTTTCGTCTTTAGTCGACGGAGTGCCACGAAATACCGGTCGTCTTGTTGTTGTTGATCTTTCGGTAGTTTGTTGTTTTTGCAGGTTTTCCAAGTTGAAGCTGAACTTTATCGGAGCAGAATCGAACTTCAGTGGCGTCTTGGTACTCACTTCCGAGTATGTTTCTCTGTGATTTTTATACTGCGTTTTTGCGGATGGAGTTTCTTTCGATGTCGCTTTTTCCGAAGCGTGCGTCACCACTAGATTTTCAAGTGATTCCTCATCATGTTGCGTTTTTTGCGTGGTGGATGTGCTTGTGAGTTGCTTGTTACTCCATTCTTGCAGATTTTTCGAGACTGAAGACGGATCTGCGATTACTCGAATTATCGGCGGTCTGGTGTACAAATCCGTTAAATTTTCTTTCGCGTCTTCTGCGTTGAACGGCAAGACCACCATCAATGCTCTTTGATAAATTTTTCTTGCTTCCTCGATTGTCTCTTTATTTTTATAGACCTCAAGATTTTTGGACGTGATATTAAAGAGGATGTCGACGATCTCACGTCTACTGAGATGTGGTAAACTCGAATTCGAGCGAATTAATCTCTCAACTTCGTCGATTGTGCGATTGACCGAGCTCTCGACTTCAATACTTGACGGAAGTTCATCACAATGACTTAAGCCAAGGACGATTAGCATGCAGAATAGTGCAATCTAAAAAAAGTAATAATTGAGTTAGTATTTTACACACGTTTTTATCAAGAGAAGTAAATGTATAACTTTATATATTTAAAAATATTTAAACAATATATAAAGAAATATAACATAAATAAAAACTATATAATGTTATGAGTTTTAAAAATTAATCCCATACACATATTATTATATTAGTATACTTTTTATTATTTCTTTTATATTGCGCAACAAGTTAATAAAATAATCATGTCAAGGTAGATATGTGAAAAAAAAAAATTCGATTATGTAATTTCTACGTAACTTCAGTAAAGTTTTCTGTCCCATGACTTTAAATGCAGATTTATTTTGATTATATCAGATGCATCTACGTGATATCATACTTATTTTCGTTTTTTTTTAATGCATTAATTTATATATGCGTTTCTTGTCTTAATAAAAACAATAATTATTCAACTAAACCAAAGAAGAACGAGCTCAGATGTGTGTCAGTTATACTTTTCATATTCATGAGCAAAACGTTGCAAAAGGAGCCTTGACTAGAGATCTTGTTGATGTCAAAGAGCACAGTTAGCTAATTCTTACATATCTGATCCTTTCGTAACATTTACATCACTCGTAATGTATATGCAATTTGTTCCAGAAACCAAATCAATTTATGTGTGATACAGAAATATTTTTTTATAATTAATGTACTTCGCTCTTCGCTAGATTCTATGTATGTATGTACATTATACATAAGAATGTCAAACTTGCTTTTGTATTATTAAATGCAATTCTTTTTTAATAAATTAAAATTTCACGGCACTGACAATGCTTGCTTCGCGCAAAAGAAAACAAACGTGAACCTGAATTACACGGTGTTAGACACGCGGTGAATAAGCAAACGGTAAGTTGAAGAAAGATGAAAGTTACTTTCGTCTTCTTAACCAACGACGGTGAAAATTTGGCGTCACAGATTTATTCGATTTTTTGCCGCAATATCGTGAGAGTAACATATAATTTCCGTCCGTTATGACGTCGAAGTGTGATTGGCGTAACAGAAAATTGCAGTTCTTATGGTGTACGGTTGAAAGTGGAAAAACGATTGCCGCAAAACAACGAAACGTACGTTCGTCGATGAAAAATCGAATCGAATTTTCGCGAGTTTCAGTGATAGAGAACGTTCTTGAAAAACAATCACGATTATATACGTAGAAATAAAAAAATATGCTTAACGAGCGTGGAGAAAAAAAAACGTCACCGGAAAGAACCAACTTTCACAATCTGATGTCACGCAACGCTGAAAAATGTTTATCGCACGCGTTGCAAAGATGATGATATTTACTGATACGAACACTAATGTGTGCAATATATCAAGCGTGATTAATGCGTGTTTATACAATGTATGTGAATTTCATTAAGGATGTTTCTACAGGATCATAAATCACGCAATAATGTACCAATCTTCAAGGGATAAAACTCCTTTATGAACACCGTTTTGTCGATTTAAATTTCAATCTCGAAGGTAAAATGCACACACAAGATGCGAGAATTTTTAAACTCCGACAAAAAATGAAAAGTGTCTGGTTTTTGCGCGTGAAAAATATCAAGCCTTCAATTTTATCTCTAAACTGATCTATTACTGTACAAGTCACTTTTGACAGTTTTTACATTGCAACGAGCACGTGGCAACGCGCAATAAATCTAACAGGCACGTGCGGCATGAAATTCGCGCACTAAAAATTGACAGCACTTCATGTTCTTCCCAGTGACACAGAATGCGTATCGAACGATTGACAATATTCGAAAACTCACCATTATGCCAACCAATCGTCCGGACACGTAGCCGCCAACAGACTGAGCCGCTAAGGCCTACTTTCGAACTCTCTCTCTATCTTACCTGCTTGATTCTCCTTGTGTGCTGCTCTGACGCACAAATGCGCGTCCACTTGTTTACTTGTCGGACAAGCGGCCTATTAAAATCGAAAATAAATGAGAGGAATAAAAAGCTTATAAAATAAAACAATTTTGCTCACTTTTATCAAGAAAATAAATACTTAAGTGTTTTAAGCATATGTATATATATATGACAAATCACAGTTTGAAAAATTCTATTCAATTTTATGAAAAAAAAATGCATATTTAGTTTTTACACACATAATGTGTATGACAATACGATAAATCGTAATTTTGAGAATCTTCTACGAATATTTTTCTTGACACGTTATTTTTATTCTGTTGTCACATATACTGAGCGTAATTTACAGAAATTATTGAAAAAAATATTTATCTTAAGACAAACGTTGAATTTAGTTTAAATTACAACGTTGTGTGTAATTTAAATTAAATTAATATTGCGCACCATATATCAGCGCTTCAATCCATATTAAAACTTGAATTTGAAATAAATTTTATATTTTACTTAATATGCACGTACACATGCAATTTTATATCAATTTGTTCTAAAAATAATTTAATAAATATAATTTCAAAAATTATATCATTATTTGAATATGTTGTTATTTTTAACAAAAGTATAAACAAAACACAATTTGCCTTGGAAACTAATACGACGGTACCGACGTTTGGTACTTTGGCATACTGTTGTACTATCCATGCAAAAACCATCATCAGTTGTCGAGACAAATTATTTTGGAGAAGAATTACTATTAATGGAAAGAGATTATTTCAGAAAGATTATTATTTTCAATTAATAAAATCAATTATATCTCATTAATATTTATTTAAATTTTAAATAATTTCTTAAAGAAACAGCAAAATGCACGTTTTTCCAACGTTTACCTTTTGTGACTTTATTACATTGTACCGACGTATGATACTACGGATAATACTATATGTATCGTCGTCCATATAATAGCAATTTCTCCAAACATTTTTTGTAATTATAATTAAATTTTAATTTAATGTTTTTACTATTAATGAATCTGAGAAACTTATATAGCTATTTTTAATCATTGTTTCTATATCTCATTCCTACTTCTTCTATTTTATCAAAATCTAACAATTATTATCAATAGAATAAATACAATATAATAATAAAACAATTCAAAAAAATGTGTTGTAAAATTATTCATGCTATAAACAGAAAATCTAAATATTTACAGAATAATGATGAGAAAACATTGCTTTCGTATACAAACTTCATTATGCGATTCTATCTAATTCTGTTTTGGGATGAGAACTCTAAATGTGGACTAAATTAGACGGTGAATGAACTTTGATGAAGAATATCAAATGCACGCTAATGAGAAAATGTTATTAACCTGAGAAGCGGTTCATCGATGTTTCTATAGTAAGGTTCCACACAACGACAATACCCTTCCTAATTACACGTCTCTCGCCTTCACTGTTTTCACTGAAGAAATCTCATTAACAACGACACTGGCAGTAATTAAACTTCAACGAGATGGCAATGGGAAATCGAAATAATTCGCTCTTCCTGGAATTGCGGTTCGATCTACTCAATTATTGCGTTCTTTCGATGATTGCTGACTGCGTGCAAAATAAACTCGTGCTCGATGAGATATTAATTGACCGCTGTGAAATATATAAAGTTTTTAATAATCTAGTGATCTTTGTGATATTCACACACATACACGCATTTCCGCAATGCGAAATTAATTACTTGTAATTCTGTGTACTTTTTTTTTCAAAGCGTTGCGTTTGCATATGGAATATTTCTATTTTTTAACAAATTAAAAATATAAAAAAGGTAAACACAATTTGCTTATAAAATAGTTATCAAAACTCTCTTTCCGATGCTCTCTTTAAATGCTTATATTTTTTGCTGCGTTTTTTTTATAATTGCATCGATAAGACTTTTCGATAATAATAATCTATATTTTTTTTTAGTCAAAAATATAAATAATTGTATTAATCGATTATTTTAACGAAACTAAATATTCTGATCTCTTTGTTTTCATATTGTATACAGCTTTCTCTCGTTCTTATATTTTATTATATCATTTTAAATGTAACTGATATATATACTTAAAATATTTCTCAATATAATATATTATTACTTCATTAATGTATTATGTATACAATGTGTTGCGGGAGCAGAGCATTTTGCTTTAATTTGTACAAATTGCAAATAGATGTAACGCGGCACATCAGTTGTTTGTGCTAACAAACATTTAATTAACCAAAATGTTTTTTGATGAAACAGTCCGGAGTATCGTATATGCAGTATTGTTACGCAAGAGTTTGCGGAGTTGTAACGAGCTACCGCCGACATCCCCTACACCAGGTGTTACGTTAGCTGCATGTACATGCAGTTCGGAAATATTTGTGTTGGGGTTGCTGCAATGCGCAACGGCTACGCCAGGATTATGGACGCTTTGCTGTTATATTTAAGAGCGTTGTCACACAAGAGCACTTCCCGTAATTTATAAACTATCTTATAACTATAAATAATTTCTTCTGTGACATATTGTTGTTTTGAGGCACGTGATTTTGAGGCGCGGAAATAAATCAAAAGAGCAATTTCAAAAAAGAATCTTTATTTCGAGACCGATTTTCATTAAATAAATCATAACAAAAAGAAATTATGGACATCTTAAATACAATCGCATATATTTTGCGACTATATATGTATATATATATATATATATATATATATATATGTATATATGTATATATATATATGTATATATATATGTATATATGTATATATATAACGACTATACTATACAGTAATCATTTATACACTCATTATGTACACGACATTCAGTTTAATCTCAGATTAGGTCGCATTTATTGCATAATATGCGGCAAATTGTCAATGATTAATATCTGTCATCTGCACGGCACAGATGCCATTGACGTTGGAAACTCCGTTATCAGTGCCATTGATTGTCTATATGTTTTGTTCTTATTCACGATTTCATTTTCCTTTGAGAAATATAAACGTTTTCTCCACAGAACGTCTTCAAATTCTTTTGTATTCGACGCAATAAAATTTGATGGATTTGAAATTAAATTTTCTTTGCGCATGGCAAAAAAAATCTTATCTCACG